CTGCACAATTTATACTAATTTAACACACTTGAAAAAAAATAAAATTAAATATAAAATGAGCCATAGCTTTTGCACCAGCCACATTTTTATGATTTCTTTCATTTTTCTCCCTAAGTGTTAGTTAAACACTAGTTACACATTAAAATGCCTAGAAGTGTGTTCTCTTTAGAGGATATTTTTACTTAGAAAATATATAAAACAAAATAAAAAAGGACATGTAATTTGACAGGGGTGCCCAAACTTTTGCAAGCGACTGTATGTACTCTTATGATCATAAATGTGGTATTGATTGAAAGTTTAGCACTTGTTTGAGCTATGAGTTAGAAATAATTTGAATAAAATGATACCATGTTGTTGTTATCAGGAGTGATTTCTTAGGGTTAATGAATACTTTTTAACCAGAAAATGATTCAAATGACACTGGATGAGAACTTTTATTTTGCAGGGAAACTGCAGGTAGAGCATATTGATACTTAAAGGTGCAAAAAGATGGGCTGTGCCTCTGGAACAACTCAAGGCAGTACAGAATAGATAGTGGGTAGTGCCCAATCTAACTATCTAAGTGCTATGCTCATATAAGGAACTCTGGGACTAGGCCATTTTTCTCTATGGAAAAAATGAATGCTGTTCCTAAACACTGCTGTTCAGGAAGCTGGTATGTTTTGCCATACATACATTTTTCCCAATCTCTGATTTTTAGGGTAAGTAGTTGAGATACACTGCATGGCCAAAAGTATGTGGACACCTGACCATCACACCTATATGAGCTTGTTGGATATCCCATTCCAAATTCATGGACACTTACTATGAAGTTCATGTTGCCACAAAGTTGGAAGCATATAATTGTCTGAAATGTCTTTGTATGTTGTAGCATTAACATTACCCTTCATATGAACTGAGGGGCCAAGCACCAACCCTGAAAAACAACCCTAGACCATTATCCCTCCTCCACCAAACTTTACTATTGGCATCCAATGAACCCAGATTCGTCTATTAGACTGCCAGATAGAGAAGCGTGATTCATCACTCCAGAGAACGTTTCCACTGCTCCAGAGTCTAGTGGTGGTGCGCTTTACACCACTCCATTTGATGCCTGGCACTGCATAGTGATCTTAGGCTTGTGTGCAGCTGTTCAGCCCTGGAAACCCATTTCATTTGTAGTGAATGACAGAAGATCTTTAAGTCATTTTTACACACTTCAGGACTCAACAGCCCCACTCTGCGAGTTTGCACTGTCTACCGCTTCATGGTTGAGCTGTTGTTGCTTCTAGATGCTTCCATTTCACAATAATATTACTGACAGTTGACCAGAGCAGGTCTAGAAGGGCAGAAATTTCACAAACTGACTAGGTAAAGGTCACAGTCCCACGTTTAAAGTCACTGAGCTCCTCAGTACAACCCATTCTACTAACAATATTTGTCTATGAGGATTGCATAGATTATATATACCTGTTAGCACTCAATAATTAGGATGTGTGTCCACATATTTTTGGCCATACAGTGTACAAATATTGCTACATCTAAGCTTACATTGCTGCACACTGAACGGATTCCATAAGACTGATGACTTCACCAAAATACCCCAAGCAAACCAGCAAGCATTGTTTAATTGCTTTGGCAGAAGTAGCAGTTTGAGTAGCCAGTGTTATAGAGTTGACTTGGCTACGTTCACATTACAAGCCTCTTTGCTCAAATCCGATTTTTTGCTCAAATCCAATCTCTCTGACACGATGGTTCACACTCGATTAGGTAAGTGATTCAAAACTGGCGACCTAAAATGACCCTCATGTACCCATCCTACTCAGTAACGTCGCGTGAATGAATCACGTGCATCATCAGCAACAAACTAACGAGCAGAACGAGCTTCGCTGAAGATAATTAACTCTGATCAGCTCTCAGCTTCATTATTAGAGCGAGATGAAGGAGAAAAAGGTGAGATGTGTTGCTTTTCCACCGTTTACAGGCTTTAACTTCTGTTCGGCGCTGCTGCCATGGTAACGCTGAATGATGGCGCACGTGCGCTGGAAGAAAAGCACATGAATTCCGAATCTGAGCGTCACATTAAGGTTGCATGGCCACGAATCGGACACGTATCCGATCTAGAATCACATATGAAAGTGGCTCCGGTCGTATTTGAAAAAATCAGATTTGCGTGTCCACACAGCTCCGAAAACATCAGATCTGAGTCACATTAGGGCAAAAAATCGGATTTGTGCCCCTTCAATCTGTAATGTGAACGTAGCCTTACTTTAAGAAAGGTCAGTTCAATGGGCAGGAGTGTTAGCTTTTAGCATGGATGTAGCATTATTGGTATTTCAACTACTTAACAACCACTCAATTCAGGGAATCCTGTGACATTAAGTGTACAAAACGTATCATAACACGTTTTTGTTTACCGCTGGGAGCGACCTCAGCGTTTTTCGAAAACATCCTTCATTTTTCCCATAAAGTGAAACGGCTTGGAGTTCCTTATATGGGTACGCCACCGACTACAAAATGAAGGATGACTTCAGAGGTGTAGAAACAAATGCTTTACCAAGCGGCAATAGTTTCCGAAGAGATTTTCATCTGTGGTTTTCAAAGCCAGAATACGAGGAGTTAACAACAGGCCGTTCAAATCCATTTAGAGATTCCTATTAAGACCGACACATTAAGAATCTGCACGTAATGACATGCTTCAGCGTAACGGCTCCACTCTTGTGATTTACCTGCTCCACATTACGCCTTAGAAATTACCCATGAAGACTGTAATTACATTCAGGGGAATGGAGCCATTCATCAAAACCATATTAAAAGTTTGTGTAGGAGCTGTTACCATGGAATCAGTTGTTACTAAAAGATGTGATGAAGTATGCAGCGTCGGTATATTAGCACTTACACATATAATGAATTTCTTTATTTAGCACATTATTCGGCATGTTGTCTTCTTTGCTGTAAAGCAAGTTTAAACACTACCCTGCCAATGGTGCTCACCATTCACTTCTCATTGAAAGTGCAATTCAAAACAAGGTTTGTTTGTTTAAGGCCACATTTAGGAGCATAAAAAGGTGCAAAAGATTTTTTTTTATCAAAACCAAAAGGGTTTTAGACCAACTGCTGGTCAGAATATGGAACCCAGTCTGGCCCATAGGGAACAAAATACTAGCTAGGGATGTCTGATCAATGGATTGGTATTGACTGTATTAGGCCAGATCCAATTCTGACACCTTCTTAAAGTTATTTTACATTCTGTTTACAGTCAAAGAGGTGACATTAATGGACATCCTTCACAACTTCTGGACTGTGGTGTCAGAAGTTAACAAGCAGTCTGAATATCCAAAGTGTGGAACAATTTTAAATAGAAAATTAAATTAATTTCCAACAGTCCAAAAGCTATTTATAATTGTTTTGACTGTTGTATTCATTAAAAACATGGCCGAACTTGCCATGTTTGAGTGTGTGGCTGTTATACTTGGCAGTTAACAGTGCCATCAAAGCAGAGAGAAAGAAGCTGCCCAATTCACACAATTACAGCAACCTGAATATGAAAGTAAACAGTATTCATATCACGATGAAAATGTTATTTTAAAACAGTTGTCCAAAAAACCCCAGAAGATATCAGTTCATATTCCATCAAAATACCAAAAATGAAGTGATTTTACTGCAGCATTTTAAAGTAAGTGGTAGCCAAAATCATCAGATTGGTCATACCAGCATAAAAGAATGTAAAAGAAAGAGGTAACAACCAAAACGTAGCTCTTGTCCAGAGCAAGTTGCACTATGCACAAAGGCTACTATTAACTGACTTAGCTATAAAATAATCCTTTGTATACATGGGTGAAGTATCTTCTGGTAAAATAAAAGCTTATACAGATAAACATCTGTTGCAGTTGGAAAACTTGAAAGATGTTTAACAGGTAGAAATTCTTCCACAAGTATATATACATTGATCAGGCACAACATTATGACCACCGCCTTGTTTCTACGCTCATTGTCCATTTTATCAGCTCCACTTACTATATAGGTGCACTTTGTAGTTCTACAGTTACAGACTGTAGTCCATCTGTTTCTCTGCACACTTTGTTAGCCCCCTTTTACCCTGTTCTTCAGTGGTCAGGAACCCCATGGACCCTCACAGAGCAGGTACTATTTGGGTGGTGGATCATTCTCAGCACTGCAGTAACACTGATGTGGTGGTGGTGTGTTAGTGTGTGTTGCGCTGGTCTGAGTGGATCAGACCCAGCAGTGCTGCTGGAGTTTTTAATGTTATGCCTGATCAGTGTATCTTCAGCTAGGAAGGTAATTTTGACAACCATTATCACATCCACTACAAGGTAGTTAAGGCTAGTTTAGGTTAATTATGCTAACTGCAATTAGCTAAACATGGGCTGCCTACTCCCTACAACCATTCAGTGGTTTTGCTGTTTGATGAGCAGCAGGCTGTAAAAGTGCTAGGGTCTTTCTTTTTAACTGCATTGAGCTTCTGTTATTGTGCTTCGCCAAAATGTCAGGACGAGTCTGACAAGTTTGTTTTCAATCGCTAAGCGGCCAGCCTTAACATTAGCTAATGCTCTTCTGGTTGCTTAGAGACTAACAATGCGCTTGAATACACTACATATACACCAACCGGCCTTGTATCTACAACGTTTGTCCATTTAATCAGCTCCATTTACCATACAGTTCTAAAATCACAGACTGTAGTCCATCTGTTTCTCTGCATACTTTATTAGCCCCTGTTCTTTAATGGTCAGGACCCCCACAGGACCACCACAGAGCAGGTATTATTTGGGTGGTGGATCATTCTCAGCACTGCAGTGACACTGATGTGGTGGTGGTGTGTTAGTGTGTGTTGTGCTGGACTGAAAAATCCAACCAACAACGTCCTGTGGGCAGTGTCCTAGAACCACTGATGGACTAAAGGATGACCAACACAAACTGTGCAGCAACAGACGAGTTAATGTTTCTGATTTTACATCTACAAGGTGGTTGAACAAGGCAAGAGTGTCTTTTTGTGTTTAATAACTCCAGCAGCACTGCTGTGTCTGATCCACCCGAACCAGCGCAACACACACTAACATGCCGCCACCACATCAGTGTCACTACAGTGCTGAGAATGATCCCATCTGTAGTAGTCCTGTGGGGGTCATGACCACTGAAGAACAGGGTGAAAGGGGGCTAATAAAGTATGCAGAGAAACAGACTGGACTGCAGTGAAACTACAAAGCGCACCTATATGGTAAATGGACCTGATTAAATTAACAAGGAGTGTAGATATAATGTAGGTGTACTTAATGAAGTGGCCAGTCGGTGTATATATGTATATATATCTATATAGTATACTAATACTATATATTACTGGGTTTTATGTAAGGTTGCTAATGCTAAAACAGTAGTAAATCTGAAAAAAAAATCCTGTTTTTCTGAGGGAGCTTTTAGAAGCCTTAAATTGTTCAGATATCTAGTTTCTCTAGATCTGAACATTTCACATCAGACCCCTCTGAAAGACTTTTTTTTAGATTTTAACCACGTAGTTAGGCAGGTGAAATTCCCTTTTAAACAGTGTAGGAGTAGAATTCAACCATATTAACTTATGTAAAAATACTGAATACTTAAGAATACTGGACTTAGATCAGGACTGGGGCAAAATAACTTGATCAGGACATCCCTAATACTAGCAATTTTCTTTTCGCTTTTGCCTCTTTTGATTTCTGTCAGATTCTAATATCCTCTTAGAAGACACTGACCAGAGTCTTTCTCTCTAAGTGTGCTCCTTAGCTGTTTCTGCAGGCCTCTGCTCCTGCTCCGCCTCCTCAGTGGAGTAGTGCTGCTGTGCCTGGTGCTTGTTTCTGGAGGGAGCGTCCTGAAAGCGCATGCCACAGTCCTCGCAGGCATAGGGCAGGGCTCTCCGCTCCTCCTGTACCTCTGGACCTTCCCTGCTCTGAGAGATCATATCCATTGTGGGTTGAGCAGCAGCCTGCCCAGGGTTGCTGCCGCTTGAGGCGGACTCCGGCTGACTGGCCTGGGCAGAGCGCGGCTCTGAACCCGCAGAAGCGGCGCCACTAGCCAGGCTGGGCCGTCCCACAGAATTTGGCTCCGTGACGATCCCGTGCACGGTGCGGTGATGGAAGCGAATGCCCGAGCGGTTGGAGAAACCCTTTCCGCACAGGCTGCAAATGAAGGGCCTCTCACCCGTGTGGACACGCATGTGGATCTTCAGCGCACCCGACTGGGTGAAGCACTTACCGCACTGCGTGCAGTGGTAGGGTTTCTCCCCAGTATGTGTGCGTTGGTGGGCCCTCACACCAGCCAGGTGGGGGAAGCCCCGACCGCAGTAGGTGCAAGAGTACGGCCGCTCGCCAGTGTGGATGCGCCGGTGGATCTTGAGCGCCCCTGACTGGCTGAAGCTCTTGCCGCACTCACCGCAGGAATAGGGCCGGGCACCCGTGTGCACGTTCAGGTGGACGCGCAGATTGCTGTGTGAGTTGAAGGCACGGCCGCACTCGGCGCACAGGAAGCCGCCAGCTTTGGATGCATGCTGGGCCCGCTGGTGCTGCAGCAGCTGCGAGGGCCGGGTGAAGGAGGCTGAGCAGTGCATGCACGGATGCTGCTGCTGGAGGCCCTCTTGCTGCATGTGGCCCTGCTGGTGGCGCAGCAGCTGAGCGCAAGTGGGAAAGGTGCGCTGACAGGACAGGCAAGGGAAGGGAGGCGGCGACCGGGAACCGGCACGCAACTGCGGGCAGGGCAGGCAGGAGGCAAGGGGGCAATGGTGATGATGGTGGTGGTAGTGGTGGTGCGAGTGCATGTGAGCGAAATGGCTCTCAGATCCCTGCTGGGGTCGCAGGAGGTGGGCACAAGGCTGGAAGCAGAGGCAGGGGAAGGCCTGGATAGCAGTTGGGCAGATCTGATGGCCTGAGTTTGGGGCAGGCGTCGGGCTGTGGGTGCTGGTGCCTTTATCCTGGTGCTCAGGGTGGCTCGGCTCAGGGTTGGATGTGCTGCTGGGCTCGGTGTTCCCCTCCTCTAGAGAGAGACCCAGGCCAAGACATAGACCAAGGGTGACCGGGACCGAGCTGGGCTCTTTGGACTGCGACGATGTGGGGGGCACAGTGGAAACTGCTGACTGGGTCTGGGGGAAGGAACTATATCTGGGTTTCAGGCTCTGCAGAGAGGGTGCAGTAGGCATGGATGAAAGGGGACAGCCTGGGCAGGTGCAGGTATGTTGTCGAACTGCGTACATGAAAGCAAATAAAGGTGAATAAAGCCACGAAACCTCTTAAAGGAACAGTTTAGCAAAAAATCAAATATAGACATATTTTCCACTTAACCTAGATGTAGCTGATCAGTCATATTTGGTGTACAAATATTGCTTATGTGGCTAATATAGCTAATCAACACTAGAAGTCAATGGTCACCCAATTTTTTTCCGGAAGTTTTAGCACACTCAAACCGTATCTAGGTCTTTGTTAAATTTGGGTGACTATTGACTTCTTGTGTTCATTAGTTATATTACCCTCGTAAGCAATATCTGGACACTAAACATGTCTTGACTAATATTTGTTTCCAACATTAGCCTCATAGCTCCAGCGCTAAACACATGCCTTGTCTGATCGACTACATCTGGGGTATTTTTTGCTGAACGATTCATTTAAAAAAAAAAAACATTCTTCAGACCCAATTTAACTATATGACCAGCGTCTTATACGCTTACGTTGTTGCTCACCACACTCCCCAGACTCCTCGCTCCTCTCTCCAGACTGCAGAGCAAACCCTGTCATGGTTTTCCCCTGGTTCTGTCTGGTTAGGTCCCTCTGAGCTGGGTGAGAGGCTTTGGGTGCTGAGGCCTCAGGTCCCATCGTCTCCCAGGCAGTGCGGAGTGACTGCTGGTTATGGTATTTCAGCAGCTGACCAGCTGAGCCCGTCGCACTAGAGGCCACAAGGTCACCAATAAAGTTATGCATCTCCAGCCAAGAGCTGGGACCAGACTGTGTGGAGAAAAAAGTGTCGTATAAGATATAAAAACACAAATCCAATATTTAGGCAAAATAAAATGAATAAAAAAGAAACAAGTAAAGGGACATATTAGTCAGTCAGGACAGTGGTCACCAGCTCTCCTCCTGCAGAGTTTAGCAACAACCTGAATCTAACGTGCTGCCACCTTCTTCCCCGTACCTACATTAAAGCATCTAATCCAGCTAATCAAGGACTTCTGAACAAGCTATTTAGCTGGAGCAGGTAGATCTCCAGGACCTAGTGTTGGTGACTTAGGTACTATTTGGGTGGTGGATCATTCTCACCATGATGATCCACCACCCTGCTCTGGTGGTCCTGTGGGGGTCCTGACCATTAAAGAACAGGGTAAAAGGGCGCTAACAAAGTATGCAGAGAAACAGATGGACTACAGTCTGTAACTGTAGAACTACAAAGTGCACCTATACAGTAAGTGGAGCTGATAAAATGGACAATGAGTGCAGAAACAAGGAGGTGGTATTAGTGTTATGGCTGTTTGGTGCAGATATATATCCGTAATGACGAATGCCGTATGTTGTATCTTCTTAACCCTATTTTCCATTCCACCTTAAATAGTGCAGCAGTTGCACGCGCCAGAACAGAACAGTAACGTTCCTGCTGCTTCAGTTAAGGTGGCACGGATAATTCGAATAAGCCAACTTTCAGCATGGTCTCTTTTGGTGTATTTAACGGTGTAAACATGCTGTAGGTTAATGTAACTCATCGCCATCTACGTCTGTAAGGCTGTTCGCTTATACAGACACTTAACACGACCGACGGATGCAGTTTATTTGGTACTCACTGCAAATTTGTCTTTGTCCATTACACAGCAGCCCTAACGTTACATGATAGTCTACAGGACTCGCGGGTTATATCTTTTTATTTCAGGCTCCATGCTGAGCTGGTTTAAGGCTCAAGGCTCTTTATTCGGCAGTGTTTTGGCTGTTACATCGCCATCTTCCTCTCCAGCGGTGGTCTGTTTCCGGCAGCCAAGCTCGATCACGTGACTGAGCCGCCGCTGCTGTTTATTTATATCTGCATTTTACAGACTTGAAGGGTAATTCCACCATTTTTTTCACAATTTCTGAATAATTTAATTTGTAAACGGAGTAATTCAGAGTGGGTTGATGCGAGATGTATCATTGTAGACTCTTATTTCTTTACAGTATAGGAACCAGGGGTCACAATGTCTACAACACCAATATAGCCATTTTTATTTACTACCCAAAAATGGTTTGGATAGTAATGGTTGGGATGTCAAAATCATTCAGAGTGGTTCGATGTGATATTGATATTAGTTCACCGGAGAGAAACGTACTGATTCTGATTTCTTTACAGTGGTGAATGGAACCGGGGGTTGCAATGTCTACAACACAAATACAGCCATTTTTATTTACTATCCAAAACCAACAGTGAACCTACAGGAGTTTTTATATGTAATGTTGATAATGGTAAAGTAGTCATAAATATGACAAAATAAGTTTTCTTTGGGGACTATTTTGCTTTACGGCACCCTGCATGTATTCCTCTGCTATGACCTGATTAAAATAAGTGGATTTAAATACTTTTTAAGCCAAAACTTTCTCACATAGCGATCATAAAACAATGTGTCAGACATCATGCAGCATATATATGACCATTTCATGTAATAACTCTCTAAAGGGAGCTTTTAGAGGTGGACGTCTGGTTCCTATCACCAACACTGTGAACAATTCTGACTCTAAGCTTGTCTAGAACAAAGCATTTCACACCAAACCACTCTGAATAGCTTTGTTTACTCAAGCATTTAATAATGTAGACATTTTTGAAAAATCAGTGGAGTTCCCCTTTAAAAATGGCTTTTGGAAGGGTTAATTCTGTCACATTGGACATCGAAAGAAAATTAATTAATAAAAAACGACAGTGTAATTTTCTTGTTTACTTGTGCCTCAGACTTGCCTTATTGCATCTTACGCTAAAGGGGAATTATGCTTTTTTTGAAAGGTCTGTTTTATTCAATGGTTGAGACGTCAGAATCATTCAGAGTGGTTTGATGTGGTGATGATTCACATCAAAGTTCATTGGAGAGAAACCTACTGACTCTGATTTCTTTACAGTGGTGGTGAGTGGAACCAGGAGAGGCAGTGTCTACAACACCCATAAAGCCATTTTATTTACTATGCAAAACCACCAGTGAACCTTCATGTGTCTTATGAGTTTTTATATGTAATATTGATGATAAATTGTGGTAAATCTGGACAAAAAAGTTTTCTTTTGGGACACTTTTGCCTTACAAGGCCCTGCTTGTACCCCTCCACCAAAATTTTCTCAAAAACCGTCCCAGGCATCAGGCGGTGTATTTCACATAACCCTCTGTGAGGGAGCTCCAAGAGGCATTAAACACTTCAGATGTCTAGTTCCCAACCCCTGTGAACTTTCTTTGTCAGTTATTTCTTTGAGACAGTCTTAAGAAAGACATTTTTTCCCTCTGGGAAGTGCCAACAATCACACAGAATCGTGTAGATGTGAGCAAAAAAACTCTTTCTGTGGAGGCTAGCAAAAAAAACTTCATATCTCCATTTTTGTCGTTTTTCAGTTTTTGACATAATTTGAAAATACCTGTTGTTCTTTACATTGTCTGTACATTTTATGATGAATGCACCAAAAGAAATGGCCCAAAATTACTTGGAAAAAAGTCCGCTTCCATTGACTTACTAATAAAGTTAGCATTAGCTTCCTAGCTAGCTTATCTCACCTTAGCAAACTCTTTATAAAATCATTTCTAAAAGTAATAATTTCCACCGATATACCTTTCTAATTTGGATTCTGGTACACTTATTGATCATGTAACCGTGCTTAATGACTTTATCTCCTGCTGGAGAGAGGAAAATGGTCAATCTTCAAGAGGTTGTGATGAAACCGAACCAGCCAGATGCTCTCGATTAAAAAAGAAAAATGACACTTTATTGCTGGGGTTTTTGGAAAAAATCAAATCAATGTCGGTGAACAGGCGATGGTCAAAGCCAGACAGGTCAAACAACAAAGAAAGACAAACATAAACCAAACCAGGCAACCAGATCCAAAGGGCAACGACAAAGGTCAGATAAACACAAAAGGGCAAGATAACCATAAGAAGAAACAATACCACACAAAGAAACAAGTCTAAAAGCCCCGGCTTTATACTAACTCTGACTGATCATGTGACAAACAGAACAGGTGAACCAGATTTGAATTCATGTGAGTGCAAACGATGTTTGGAGCACTGTGGAGGGTCAGCAGGCACATGATCTCCCAGAGGATTCTGGGAGATGGAGTTCATGGATGCATCAGAGCCAGAGGGATGCGTGACACAGGTACTCACTGGAACCATCAGTTCTGGACCTGATGGCTGCTGCCTAGTTGTAGTTTTCTGGTGCCAAAGGTTTATAACAGATCCCCTCACCAAGTATGAGATGTGTTATGAATAAAAAAGCCAAAACGTCAAGGATGTCTGTGTCATGGCGATGGAAGCTAACTGGTGAGGTATGAGGTATTTCATTATCTGCAATAGGGGCCCAATAAGGATATTATGGGGCCTGAACGCTGTGGGTCCCCCTGCACCATGGACCCCAGTGTGAATGGCCCACTGCCCCCTGACGCTACTGGTTTATTCATGTGTTTTCCCACAATGCTGGGCAAGCAAACATTTGAACATCATAATTTTAACCATGGAAGGAGATAAAACATATAAAATGAATTTATGAAAAATACGGTAGTAGGTAAAAACTTTATTTTTTAAATATTGGAAAACAGCCTTAAATAGATTGATAAATGCATAAGGAATATGAAATTTAAGGCAATGGTTTTATAAAAATGTGCATATGACATGCAACAACATGATAAACCAAAATATCTACAAAATCATTTCCAAAAAAGTTGGGACGCTGTGCAAAATGTAAATGAAAACAAAATTCAATGATTTGCAAATCACACATACACATACACACACATCATCTAAACCGCTTATCCTTCTGGGTCGCGGTGGGGCACTGGAGCCTATCCCAGCACTCATTGAGTGGAAGGCAGGATGCACCCTGGACAGGTCGCCAGTCCATCGCAGGCGCAAATCATTTAAACCTATATTTCTTTGACAATAGTACACAGACAACATATCAAATGTTGAAACTGTGAAATTTTATTGTTTTTTGAAATATATGCCCATTTTAAATTTGATACCAACAACATGCTCCAAAAAAGTTGGGATGGGGGCATGTTTACCACTGTGTTTGATCACCTTTCCTTTTAACAGCACTCTGTAAGCGTTTGGGACCTGAGGAGACACTGCTGTAGCTGTTTTCCCATTCTGGTTTGATACAGGATTTCAGCTGCTTGACAGTTCAGGGTCTCCTTTGTCGTATTTTTCATTTTACAATGTGCCAAATGTTTTCAGTGGTGACCGGTCTGGACTGCAGGCAGGCTTTTCTGAAGACAGCTTCGCCGAAAAGCTGTAGCACATGTTAAAGAAGTCTGTTAGAGATTTCTCCGAAGGCCTGATGGTCTGCCGTGAGGTGTGATGGTCGGTCAGATATTTACCCTGTTGTTTTTTTTCTTTAGGCCTTGTGGTTGGTTGTGTCCCTGCCATCTTGTGGCTTGTTGAGTTTTCTGGCCTGATTGATTTTCTTGGGCTATAGTGCTGTTCTTGATGTTCGTTGAGCAGCGTCTTTGGTGAGGTTGATAAATGCTACTTGGTTTAGCTTCTGTCCTCCATGGTGGTCTTTGAGTTTAGGGGCATGCTGTTACTGCCCCCTGGTCCCACTTCCAAAACGGCAGGTTGTTCTCTCCAGCTCCACTGTGAATAACAACAAATAAGAAGTAACTGGGATTCATTCAGTCCATTGTTTCTACTTAGCTTCAGTAAGTGTATTATAGCTTGAAGGTTCTATGTGCTTTTCTGTGCACATAGAAAAGCAGGTAAGCTGTTTTTGCCCTGCACTTTAGTACAGCTGACTCATTTGTGTGGGACACTTTAGAGTCGTTGAAAGTCAGCCAGCTGTCTCCTTCTCCCTCAGCTACATCACTGATGTAGTGGCCTGTCAAGACAGGAGGGTGTTGTTAGGCATTTAATAGTTTCTACTGCATGTGTGTACATGACTTCAGTCCAGTTTGGGGGCATGCAGATCCACTAAAAAAAGCCATATACACTTGTGTATCGTTCTTCAAGGGCTCTTTAGTCAAAGCAGTGGTTCTTTTTAGCACCCATGAGTTCTATATAGAACCATTTTATTGCTTAAATGGTTCTTTGCATGACATCACAGCAACCACCTGGGATATCATAGAAACCACTTTGCAATACCCTAACAACCACCTGGAACACCGTAGCAACCACTTAACAACCCCATGGCAACCATGAGAAATACCATAGAAACCACCTCGCAATAACTTAGCACTTCAAATACAATAACAACATCACAGCAACACCCTAACAATACCCTAGCGACCACAACACCATAGCAATGCCTACCAACCACCAGAGATGCCACCTCCCATACCACAGCAATCAGCTAAAATAACATGAACTGCTTAGCAACACATTAGCAACCACTTTTTATCCTGCTACCTGCTGGCGCTGGCACTGAGAGACTCCGGGGTGTGGCAAGGCGGAAGGCGACACGCAAAGGCTCATGGTAGCACGCACTCTCCAACAAAGGGACTTGTGTTGTTTAGGTAAGTTATGTGTGCATGTTATTTGTGTCATTTAGTGTTGGGGGCTGTGGGTTTTATGACAGGGGGTCACCATCAGGGTGAAGTGTGTGGCAAGTGGTGACCCCCCCCCCGAAGTCAGTGTCCTATATGTGCCTTTCTGCTGCTGTGTTTGATGAAGAGCATTTCTTGCTGGACAATCATTATCACCCCCTATGTTTCTTCTACTGCCGAAGCTACAATGCTATAGCAACTACCGAGCAACATCTTTACAATCTCCTGGGATAACAGCCTAGCTGTACTCTAGCAATCACCTAGTAA